CTGAAACAGTCTGAGAGATAGAGAAGTAAATTTGGGTGTCATCAGCGTACTGATGTCTCCGGATGATCTCACTTAGCGGCTTCATGTAAATGTTAAACAGCACGGGGAACAGAATGGCAGCCTTCGTATACCATTGGACTGCAGTTCCCATCACCCCTAGCTGTGTCACTGATAGCAAGGAAGGTTGGGAGCGGTAATTAACTTCTTTTGTTTATTCCCTTTCCTATTCTAAAATGCATTTCCCAAGAAAAATACATGTAAGGGTTTTTTTCTTTTTTACAAGTGCCCTTTGAGTAAAAACTCCTGCTCCTACCACAAAGTCATATTGCATGAGCCCTGCTAAACTGTGCTTAATATAACAATATTAAGCACAGTATGTAGAGAGATCTTGCAGCACTGTGAAGTCGTAGGCTTTGATGGCCAGCATCCATGGTTTTTTGTGGGTTTTTCAGTCTGTGTGGCCATGTTCTAGAAGAATTTCTTTCTGACGTTTCGCCAGCATCTGTGGCTGGCATCTTCAGACAGATGCTGGCGAAACGTCAGAAAGAAATAATCTAGTTTGAGATTTTATCTACCTTGGCTCAATGCTAGGGAATCATGGGAACTGTTGTTTATTGTGGCACCAGAGCTCTAACAGAGAAGGCTCAATGTCTCAGAAAAAAACTACAATTCCCATGATTCCCTAGCACTGAGCCAGGACAGTTAAAGTGGATTCAATCAAACTGGATTATTTCTGTATAGGCAGTCTCCAGTGGTACCCAAACTCTGGCCTTCCAGGTGTTATTGTTGTTTTTTGGGGTGAAGGGAGGACTTCAGCTCCCAGAATTCTCACCCATCTTAGGCAATGGTCGTGGGATTCTGGGAGTTGAAGTCCAAAAAAACACCTGGAAGGCCAATGTTTGAGGCGATTTCTGCAGTGTGTGTGTGTGTGGTGTCAAAAACGGTGCCATTATCCCTGTGTGGAAAGGTCGAGGAGGAAGGAGAAGGCCAAGGCCTAGAGGGCGGGCTTCCTCCTCCCCTCAGGAAGGCAAGAAAGAGGCGGCGGCCTGGAAATAAAAGCGGGCCTCCTCTTTCTCCTCCTCCTCGAGAGGATAAGGGGGCGGCCTGTGGTAGTGGAGGAGGGAGAAGAAGAAGAAGAAGAGGAGGAGGCCGGGGACCAGGCGTCGAGGGGGTGGTGGTGGTCGTCGTCGTGGTGTGGGTGCCTGCCTGCCTGCCTGCCGCCATTATGGCCTTGCGGCGGGGCCCTGCGTCGTGGCTGCTGTGCGTGTGGGCCTTGGCGGCGGCGGGGGGAGGCCCGCGGGAGGCCTGGTCGCTGGTCTGGTACACGGCCTGGGTGAGCACCGTCTACACGGAGCCCGGCACCAACCGCACCGTGTGGGGCAGCGCCGAGAGCGGGCGCTACGGGGAGGGCTCGCCCAAGGTGAACGCCCAGGGCCTGGTGGGCATCCCCCGGGGAGCAGGAGCGGGAGCGGGAGAAGGGAGCGGCGGCGCTCGGCCCATGGAGGGGTGCGCCCCGGGAACGGAGTACGAGGTGCCCAGCCCTGGCCGCCGCGGAGCCCCCTCGTCCTCCGCCTCTTCCCCGCTGCCGCCCTCCTGGATCGCCCTGGTGGCCCTCGGAGGCTGCAGCCTGAAGGAGAAGGTGGCCAACGCGGCCAGGAAGAGGGCCGCCGCCGTCGTGGTCTACAACCAGCCCCGCTTCGGCAACTCCACCTTCACCATGCCGCACTTCGGTCAGTCCGGGGGGGGGGGGGGAAGACAGGCGGCAAAGGGAAAGGCTGAGGTGGTGGCGGTGGCGATGTTTGGGAAGGCCTGGGGCCTGTACAGACTGACAGAAGTAATGCAGCTTGAGGCCACTTTAACTGCCCTGGCTCAATGCT